GATGATGTCACATTTTTGGCTGAGCGATTAGCAAAGCCCATTACTCCACTGACCCAAAAAGTTTCATTCTGTTTGTCTGTATGCACGATAACTTGAGAACTAATTGAGCTAGTAATTTTTAATTAGGTTGGTTACTTTTCTTTGTGCAGCTTGAAGCCAAGCTTAATTTGTCTGCGACATTGGCAGCAACCCGTTTCACAAACTTTTTGGATATGAAACTTGGCATAGTCGAATAGTATAGCACTAGTACAGTACAATAAGGGAAAAAATGTGCTTTGGTTGGAGGTGGGTGTCTTAGACACATTTGTAATTGTAACATGATGTATTGCAAATTTGTATCTCAATAATAAAAGCTGTATAATCATTAACTTGCTCAGTGTTGAAAGAAATGTGGCAATCCTTTTCCCACTTGCATCAACATCAGTGGAAAGACTACAGTTTGGATGTTGCATCCTAGATAACAAATTTAGAACTTGGGAGACCTTAAATTTAATTTATTTATGAGGAAAAAGATATTTAAATTCTGAATCTATGCGCTACTCTTTCCTTTTGAGGAGAGCGGTAAAATATAGTGATGTCCTCTATCTGATCTCAGAATAAGATCCAGCATCACAAAATAGTCCTAAGTGGAACCCCAGACCAATGTGGGTATTTTAAGTAATGAAAAAGGTTCATGTCTTACAAGCATTCTTTTTGCTGCCCTGCACTAGTTTGTAAAAGTATTATTTTTTAATTGATCCTTAGCAACATTGTTAGGTGAAAAGACCTCAGGGCAGTTGATTCCTGGTCACTTATCTGGGCATAGCGAGCCACGTTTTGTGTGGCGAAAGATTTGGTGGTAAAAGGAGTTGAAAAGCCAATTAAACATGTGCCCAACACAGAAAGTATTTTGTTTCTGATTGCAATAGACAAACTTTTCAAAATTATAGTGATCAATTTATGTCAAACAATAAACATACTGGAACAAAATGTAGATTAGATAAGTTGGACTTAATTACATAACTTGAAACATCTGCTTTGCAAAGCACCTGCTGAAAAATTTGTTTTATTTTCCTAAATTTTTGGCAAGAATGGCAAGTACGTTTCTCAACCGCAGTAATATAACTTTGGTTTATTTCTGGGAGAGAGATGTCGAAGTTGCGGGTCCTTGTGAATTTGACATTAAAACAATGCTTGTTTAATTTGGTACCTCCCATACCCTCCTCTAAATTATGGGAGGCACACACAATAGATCAATATGGGCAGTAACAATACTGGAATGAGCAATAGTATGTGTACAATTTATATATGCCCAGTAACAACTATAAAGGAAAGAGTGGAGTGCACATATAGATTCAGAATGTAAATATCTTTTACCTCATAAGTAAATCAAATTTGAGGCCTCTCAAGTTCTAAATTTGTTCTCTAGGCAACATCTAAACTGCAGTCTTTACACTCATGTTGAGGCGAGGGGAAAAGGATTGCCATGTTTCGTTCAACACAGAGCAAGTTAATGATATCACAGCTTTTATTATTGAGATACAAATTTACAATACATCATGTTACAATCACAAATGTGTCTATGACACCCACCTCCAACCAAAGCACATTTTTTTTCACCCTTATTGTACTGCACTAGTACTATACTATTCGACAATGCCAGGCTTCATGTCCAAAAAGTTTCTGAAGCAGGTTGCTGCTAATTAGAAGACAAATTAGGCTTGGCTTCCAGCTACGCAAAGAAAAGTAACAAACTTAATTGAAAATTAAAATGTGAAATCATCATTTATAAATGAAACGTGCAAACCTCCAATCAAATCACATTTTCTACCTGAATATTTTTTTAAATTGCCATGATAGTTGTTGTTTTAAACATTCTGTTTTTAATACCGATAGCAATTGACTGTAAATTACAATGCTTGTTTTTTAATTGGCCTACTACAAGTGGTTTTGACTTACTATAGATGCATAAAATATGTTACTATTGCCGGAAATAATTATTTGCAGCTTGATGAAATATAATTTCACAAGTCAGTAAACAAACAAAAGATGAACTCCAAAAATTAAAAATAAAAAGTTACATGCAACTATTTTTTTTGTTTTCCATGTCACATGACAGAACAGAGTGCGAATGTACCAATGTACCAAACTGCTCACCTCGTAACAGGAGTCACATCACAACAAGGTATACTACAGAACGCTATTACAAATATATTCAAAATAACATTATTACACGCTACTTCTTCTTTTAGTTAACCAGCATTATCTGCAAAAGAAAACAAAGAGAATAATTATTAGTAGATAAGATACAAATACCTATCAGGAGAAAAAAAATCTAATTGGGAACGTTATGGCTTTTAAGTGTTGGGTCCAGCTTAAGTTAACACCACCCGACTTGTATGTCTCATGTTTGATTGCCACTTACTTGCCATGGGACATTATGATGTTTTGTCAGAAAGTAGACACAAAAATAGGATTGATTTGGACTGTCCAGTTCTGATTTTGCTGAAACGATACAACTGGGGGGATAGTGCTTGAACCCAGAGCACAGAAAGGGAGCCTCAGGAAGTACAGAACACATACCTTAGAATTTAAGAAGCCGCACTGTGGAGGTTTGAACAGCTGCATACTTGGGTTTCATTGGGTAAAACTTTTCAGGGGTTTCGTCTGTGGGCACTTTCCACATTTCGGGGGGGTTGTCGTCCGCTGGTACGTACACCAGAGTTTGTCCCGAGCAGCACCGCAACCTTTTAGTGGTCCATTCCATTCGTTCTGACATGTCAGGCGTTTTCGCCAAACTCTTGGCAATGTCATCCTGGTCCTGCAAACGAAACAGTCGATTACTGGTGAGTGTTCCCAATCGTACGACTGATCTTTTTTTTTGTGTAACATAGTAATACCCACCTCTAGTTCAAGCCAATCCTTTATGAACTCCGGCTCATCGGTGTCAGGGTGCGCGCTGCTCAAGGCGAGTGTCAGGCACGTGTGGAAGTAATCCATTACCTCCTGACGCTCAGCTGCAAAACGAAAACAGGCAATAGTCAGTACACAGTTTAGAGTGGCGAGCTGGCTGAGGGAACACCACGACGAGCACTCACAAGACCAGAAGAGGAGGCCGCACTTCCTGACACTTCTTTTCTCCGGCATGTACATGCAGGATGCGAGCCTGTGGGCACGCTCGTTACTTAAATCTACCACTACATCAGCGCCCGCAGCAGGCTCCCGAAAAAATGGATCTTCGGCGAAGTCCAAAAACGTCTGGTAATCACGAAAACACGGATCGACCACGGCCCGCCGTGGTACGAGCCAAAACTCATCCCTAGAGAATACGTTGAACAAGAACCACGGCTCGTAGAACATGGTCACTGGGCTACTCAACTTTGTACTGCGTCCGAAGATAGGTCTTGA